ATCCAGCTATCTAGCTATCTAGCTATCTAGCTATCTAGCTATCTAGCTATCTAGCTATCTAGCTATCTAGCTATCTAGCTATCTAGCTATCTATCTATCTATCTATAATCTAATCACATGTATATACATATAAGATACATAATCGCATCTATCTTTTACGGCCTGGCTTTAAAGATACTAGCAACATAGAAGAATTACAAACCCAGTGAACTCTCTCCTCAGAACCAGAGCCAAGCTGGCAGGATCGAGGTGCTGCAGTGAAGGAGCTTCGACAGGATGTTACTTGGAATATGGACAACAATATTTGAAAATCACATGTATGACTTATATGCAACGTAATATGAGTCTAAAACATACTATGATAACTTATATCTCTAACTAAAAGACATCCATTTGGGCACGGGACCATGATTTCTGCCTGAGTAGATTTGCATAGTGGGAATTCGTTTCTTTTCTTGGGTCTGGCTGTTGAGTGCTCATGCGGACGACTTCAGGTTCATGCTATGGGCAGAGCCGTGGCAATCTTGCAGGATCAGGCTAGAAGTGACATTCAGTTTCGACATACAGACATCAAACACCTCCACATGTACGAGCCTTTTAGAATTGAACTTGTTGTTTTGCTCCTCACAAGTTGGAGCTTGCTAGGTTGCAATCAGGGTTCTAGAGATTTGTATGTCCTCAAGAAAAGACAGCAAACACAGATCGCAACAGGATCTCAGGATATTTGATCTCTCGATGCAGATTGTCGGAATATTAAATTCCAAGCATATAAACGTCTCTGAAGTCTCTCAACTTGGCCACTCTCCAGCTTCTTGGCTTCAGAGCAACCTTGTCAGAGTGACATAGACTCCATCATTTTAAACCCGCAACGCATTGGACTGAACAACACAAGTTTGAGGTTCCTTCTAGATTCTCTTTGCAAACAACACGATGCGATAGATACGATGTTACGATATATAATATATAGCAATAATAATGTTTCAGACCCTGCAGACCAAGTTCAGACATTTCAATCTGTAGCCAAGAATATCAGAATCAGAATATCAATATTTTTGATTGGGCATGTGCGATATTGGACAAAGATCATTCAAGTTCACATTTCGGAGTGGTCCGATCGGAGTGATCGGAGTGGGGTTTGGGCAATGTTGGCTTTCGTGGGGCTGACAGGGCCTGTAGGGCCTGTAGGGCCTGGGGCCGCCGCGGGAAGCCGTGGAAGCCGTGGAAGCCGTCGCGAAGCTCCAAGTTTGAGCACTGCGAGGCGTGCCGGGCCTGAGAAAAGGGGGGCCCGACGGTACCCGACGGTACCTCAAAATCTCATGGCTCAAACTGATTCAATTTCGCCTCATCTTCCCAATTCAAATAAGAATTTCGGACAATATCTGGATCATCCTGGATTCTGTTTTTCCAGGATCTCATTTTTTTTTTCTGGACAATTCCAATCTCTCCATCTGTATCCATCTCCATTTGTTCAGCGGTCCACTGTGAGTCCCAGGACCTGCACGGTGTCCGCGGTGGCGTGGTTGGCGCGGCGCGCAAGACGAAGGAAGGCGATCAAAAAAGGAGACCGAAAAGAACAAGATGAATCAAGCTTAAGTCAAGCTTAAGATTATCATAGATTATCATAGATTATCATAGATTATCATAGATTATCATAGATTATCATAGATTATCCAGATTGTCCTTTAGGATTTAAGACTATTTCACTAACATTTCTCAATACATATCAAAGTTTTGCAAGACTTTGAGACAGAAACCTACAACACCTGGACAACAGCTACAATGCGGCTGGAAAGTGATGCAAGTTGTTTAGGTGTACTGTGGTCGCACTGAGCGGGGGCATTTAGTGGCGTACCCTTGGAGGTGGTGTGCTTCAGCAGCGACCGAGATGGAGATGAGGCGGAATGTTTGGACGGGTTTGTTTGCGTTGAAAGCGTTTGCTGGACATCAGCAGCAGGCATCATCAGGATTTGGGGCTGATTCTCCTTTCTCCCAACATCACTGCGTGCTTCTGACAGGTGGGTGGCCCAGTAGCGCTGGTGCTACGATCCAAATTGCAGGAGTTGGCAAAGACCAGCAGCGCACAACGGGCTGCCCAGCGTTGGCAGGTCGGGAACAATCGCTTGACCAACCTGTGCTGCAGAATGTCTTACAGAATATCACAGATGTTTAACGATTTAAACGGGGCAGGAAAATGCAAGAATACTGTCAAGATCCGTGAAGAATGTAAGACAGGGAGCACAGGGCTGGCCTGTGTGGTTGCACGAAGCAATCTTGCAGTTGCCAGGATTTGGGCAATGCCAAAGTGCTGATGCCAGAGAACACCATCCCTTGGGGTGTCACACATTTCATAGGACCGACATGGACCGACAGTCTGGTGAGTTCGGTGCACCCCTCGGTGCAGCCCTCACTTTCACGGTGTGTAGCAGGAGGTGCTGTCATGGGCCAATTCCCGGAGCTTTGCTACAGCTCCTTGTTGCAACCCTTTGTGGATAAGACCGGGATGGCTGTGCCATGGCTGCAGTTCGGCTTTGATGCATCTAGGATCAAATTTGTCGACAGCAAAATGGGTATGGCATGGTGCACCCGAAAAGCACGTCACTAGAGGATTGTGAACGTATACTCAAGTTGATGATTGATGGAGAATGAGAATCCAGCTCACAGGACCCAGTTCCAAAATGTTGTGCTCGGTATCAAGAGATCTTTGGCAGGACCATGCAGGACCCGTCTAAAGTACGAGACTTTGTGCTGTGATGTGCTGTTCCAAGTCAACAGGTCATTTGCACGCCCTACCAGCTTTCAAGAGATCATCAGGAGTTGGCTGACACAGTGGCTGGGCACATCTGGGCACACATCCGACCCCAACAGGTTGCAATTGAGGGAAGTAATTGCTGATTTCATTGGAGCTCGGACAGTGAACTTTGAGTTTCGATGAGTCATCGCTGTGGCCAACACATAGCACACTGACATCGGCGGAACTGCATCACGAGTCCTTTGAATCTAGGCGTTGAGAAATCACGTGAGACTTTGTGCAATTTTTTCTGCAACTCACAGTGCGACTCGCATATTTTCGTAGATTTTTCCATATTTTCGTAGTATTTGTATTGCCCAGGCTGCGGCTGACCTGGCAGAGGCGATGGAGCTGGGGCAGCAGCGTTTTGGCTGGGCCAAGGATCGCATGCCTCGCCTTGCCATGGGCCATTCCCTTGGCGCGAAGCTTCAGGCCCTTCATTGGCCCTTCATGCTGTTACTTCGGGAATCGGGATTTTGAGTCGGATTTTGAGATCTTCAAATTCTCGAGTCGGATGGGATCACCCAGGATCCCACATGATCCCTCAATTTCATAAAACTTCGAAAATCTGAGGATCTGAATGGATCCAAGTCTCCAAGTATGGCAGATTGGGCAGGTCTTACTCTGCTGCCAGCAGCCGGATCCAATGCTCTCGGGGGTTGCGCTCTTGGCTTTCAACAACTTTGGAGTGGAAGACCAGGCACCCGGGATCTGGACATGTCTAAACCATGTGAGACATGGAATTCCGCTTTGTGTGCGGATTGTGCATGTCCGTTCTCGCTAATGAATCATGGACACCTTATATCAAGGTGAGAGGGATGATTCCGGGATGATAGAGATGCATAGCAAGATTATGCATCCGGCAGGTGGCTCTCCTTCGAGAATTCTTGAAGGTGGTGCAGGGAAACAGTGGCTCCAGCGAAGTCAGCCTGTTTCAACGAAGTTTCCCTTTTTGTGATGTTTTCCTGTTCCAAGAATTTTGGGCTCTTAAGCAGTGGATTTTGTATGATTTTGTCACCTGGCAACTGAGTAACTGAGGTGGCCTGAGCGGTTTGGGCGGAGACCAACTCTGGGAAACCTTCTTGGAAGCTCGGCAGCTGTGATGTTCAGCACAAGTTCGGTTCCAACAGGGTTTAGTGAGGCTTAGTGCAGTCAATACCGATCATGGATCATGGATCATTGATATTATAAAGGCATAGAATATCGACATCGTGGAAACATTGCCAAATTGTGGCCTGAGAAAGGTGGCTCGGAGGCCTAGGTTGCAAGCGGTTCCAAGCGGTTGTTTGCTGCAAGTTAGATCAGTGATTCACTGAGGAACCGGCGATCGGCCGTGCTGCCAAACTTTCAGGGCTGCAATTTACTCCGGGTCCAGACGAAGTGCTTGACATGGTGGAGGACTGTCAAGATGGGTACGCGGTGAAAAGTGGGATGGTGCCACAGGGTAAACTGGAAATCAAAGAAATCGGTTAGAACTGCTACATGCAGAAAGATTTAGAAGTCAGCTTCCGAATAGCTCCCGGTGGACCTTGGCTTGTGACTACAGGAGAGCTACAAGCCCGACTTGCGGACAAGGCACGCAACATGATGGCGATCATACCTGGAAGTCTGACACTCGAAGATCGATGCCCCTTTTGTGAGAGGTCAGTGTTCAGCAAAGTTTGGAACGAGCAAATAGGCAAAACATATTGAAACATATTAAAACATAAAACATATTAAAACATAAAACATATTAAACATATTAAAACATATTAAACCATATTAAAACATATTAAAACATAAAACATATTAAAACCTATTAAAACCTATTAAATCATATTAAAACATAAAACATATTAAAACATAAAACATATTAAAACATATTAAAACATAAACATATTAAAACATAAAACATATTAAAACCTATTAAAACTTATTAAAGCATATTAAAACATATAACACACATTAAAATATATTAAAATATATTAAAAGATATTAAAACATATTAAAACATAAAACATATTAAAACATAAAACATATTAAAACATATTAAACCATATTAAAACATATTAAAACATAAAACATATTAAAACCTATTAAAACCTATTAAAGCATATTAAAACATATTAAAACATAGAACATATTAAAACATAAAACATATTAAAACATATTAAAACATAAACATATTAAAACATAAAACCTATTAAAACCTATTAAAGCATATTAAAACATATTAAAACATAAAACATATTAAAACATAAAACATATTAAAACATATTAAAACATAAACATATTAAAACATAAAACATATTAAAACCTATTAAAACTTATTAAAGCATATTAAAACATATAACACACATTAAAATATATTAAAATATATTAAAAGATATTAAAACATATTAAAACATAAAACATATTAAAACATAAAACATATTAAAACATATTAAACCATATTAAAACATATTAAAACATAAAACATATTAAAACCTATTAAAACCTATTAAAGCATATTAAAACATATTAAAACATAGAACATATTAAAACATAAAACATATTAAAACATATTAAAACATAAACATATTAAAACATAAAACCTATTAAAACCTATTAAAGCATATTAAAACATATTAAAACATAAAACATATTAAAACATAAAACATATTAAAACATATTAAAACATAAACATATTAAAACATAAAACATATTAAAACCTATTAAAACTTATTAACGCATATTAAAACATATAACACATATTAAAACCTATTAAAACCTATTAAAGCATATTAAAACATATTAAAACATATTAAAACATAAAACATATTAAAACATAAACATATTAAAACATAAAACCTATTAACACCTATTAACGCATATTAAAACATATTAAAACATAAAACATATTAAAACATAAAACATATTAAAACATATAAAAACATAAACATATTAAAACATAAAACATATTATAACCTCGTAAAACTTATTAAAGCATATTAAAACATATAACACATATTAAAACCTATTAAAACCTATTAAAGCATATTAAAACATATTAAAACATAAAACATATTAAAACATATTAAAACATAAACATATTAAAACATAAAACCTATTAAAACCTATTAAAGCATATTAAAACACATTAAAACATAAAACATATTAAAACATAAAACATATTAAAACATAAAACATATTAAAACCTATTAAAACTTATTAAAGCATATTAAAACATACAACGCATATTAAAACCTATTAAAACCTATTAAAACATATTAAAACATATTAAAACATAAAACATATTAAAACATATTAAAACATAAACATATTAAACCATAAAACCTATTAACACCTATTAACGCATATTAAAACATATTAAAACATAAAACATATTAAAACATATAAAAACATAAACATATTAAAACATATAACACATATTATAACCTATTAAAACTTATTAAAGCATATTAAAACATATAACACATATTAAAACCTATTAAAACCTATTAAAGCATATTAAAACATATTAAAACATAAAACATATTAAACATAAAACATATTAAAACATAAACATATTAAAACATAAAACCTATTAAAACCTATTAAAGCATATTAAAACATATTAAAACATAAAACATATTAAAACATAAAACATATTAAAACATAAACATATTAAAACATAAAACATATTAAAACCTATTAAAACATATTAAAACATAAAACATATTAAAACATATTAAAACATAAACATATTAAAACATAAAACCTATTAAAACCTATTAAAACATATTAAAACATATTAAAACATAAAACATATTAAAACATATTAAAACATATTAAAACATATTAAAACATAAAACCTATTAAAACCTATTAAAACCTATTAAAACATATTAAAACATATTAAAACATAAAACATATTAAAACCTATTAAAACATATTAAAACATAAAACATATTAAAACATATTAAAACATATTAAAACATAAACATATTAAAACATAAAACCTATTAAAACCTATTAAAACCTATTAACACATATTAAAACATATTAAAACAAATATTAAAACATAAAACATATTAAAACATATTAAAACATAAACATATTAAAACATAAAACCTATTAAAACCTATTAAAACCTATTAAAACATATTAAAACATATTAAAACATATTAAAACATATTAAAACATAAAACATATTAAAACATATTAACATATATTAAAACAGTGACTTGCAGTGTTCCTTGATGTTCCTTGGCCGCCTTGGCTGCCTTGGCTCGGTGGATTTTCTTGCAGGCTCTTCCGCTTTAGCGATGACTCCTTAGACTGCAGTGAGGCAGCTCACAGACGCTACAGATCAACATTTTAGGCCCAAAACATGAACGATTTTTGGTCGTTAGATATTCAATACAAACCATCCCATTTTGGGGTACTGGTACTGATGGGTACTGTATATGGCCTGTTTATGCCTGCTATGTATGATCCATGCCCGGATAATCCATGACGATGACAGGAGCTGCTGTCGTCCTTTGTGATGCGACGTGCGCGAAACGCCGACCGCCTGGAGATGAAGGCTGTGGCGGTGCCGAGGAGAGTGGAAGGTAGCAGCGTAGCAGCTGGCTGAAAGCAGAAGCATCTTTGGCATGTTTGCGCGACATTTATTATCCAGCTGGATTCGTCATCATTGAAATTGATCTGATATGTATACAGTACAGTGTATATACATATATACGATATATATATATATATACACGATATATATATATATACATATACACATAATGAAATGTATAGATATATACTGATATCTTAGGCAGATTCGAATGCATTCTTAAACCCTTTGATCTGAAGTGAGACAACATCGTTGAAAGAAAATGGTAGGAACAAGTTGGAGGCCCTTGGGGGCTCAGCCACAACGTCTCGAAAGAGTGAGAACCTTTGCCACGTTTTTGGTACCGCAGGGCGGGCACCTCACCCCGGTGGTCTTATCCTTGGCTGACATGGCGCCTGCTGGAGGTGCAATGCCGTTGACATGCAGGGGTGTAATTGAGATGAATTGATGTGCGAAGAATCATATTCATATTATGCATAGATATTATGCATAGATATTATATGCATGTCATATATGGTAGTGTATATACAATATAATATATGTAATTAAGAAATTACGTGTATATATGTATATATAATATCATTACATACATATATATAATTATATAGTATATCATGTGCATTTATGCGTGATTTATTGTTGCTTTCAAACATTTGAATGTTCCATGTTTCCAGGTTTTGAAAACTCTGCGAAACGACTAGGGGTAAGATCATCAGTCCCGTTCTGCGGATTCTACTCACAACATTGCTAAATATATACGAAGAAAAGTATATATGTATGTTTATATATATATATATGTACGTATATATATATATATATGTATAATATCTTCTATATAGCACATAAATTGACATCACTTGTGACTCTAGACTCTGGAGGTCAGCCAAATCTGCTCTAGATGATAGTCATGTCCATGTAGCTATCTAATGCTATTTTTTGCGAGTGTAGACAGTGTAGGAGTCAAGTTCTCAATTGAACAGCAGAAGAGCTGATTTATGCTGATTCTATTGGCATCAGCCCCTATTAGACCGTATGAGACCTGGTTTCAGGTGCTGTGGGTGACGTCGCAGAGCGCCTCAAGGAGCGTTTCGGTGGCTTTGGCGCAACGTTGGGCAGTGAGGCAGAGTTGGAGGAGATTTGGGGGGCTGGGCTGGTTGAGGAAGGATTACAATGATTACAATATCTGTGGATTATGAAGAGTGGACATCTTGGGGAATCTTCGTTAAGGTCAGGGACTTGCTGACTGTCACCAAGTGTATCCAAGCAGGAGGTGGTGATGTCTAAAATCTGTGGCTCGCGGCAGAGCTTCTTGAGACAATATATCTTAAGCTTTGCGATGGGGCCGAAAATCAATGATTAATTCGTGATTAATTTATAATTCTTGTTACTGGAGAGCTTCATTTGCGATCCACCACAGACTGTTGGAAAAAACCATGAAAACACCTGGCCTCCAGGACCTTGTTCAGGCACTCATGGACTTCGTGGGTAGCCTTCGATGACGGCAAAGTAGCACTCCCTGATTGTTTTCATGTACAGTTCCCTGCAGGTCCAATCTCAAAGACAATGGGTTGTGGCTTAAAACCGAACCATGGATACTATCTTGATAGACTCACCATGTTTGAAACGACCTTTGGGTGGAGTGGACATCTTTGTCATAGATTGGATTTGCAGTCCAAGAGTCGAGTGGAAGTGGGAAACATGTCCCAGCTACAGTTGAGCACCGCACCTGCGCGCATGTTGCAGTGCCTGAGCCATGCTGAACAAATGGAACACACAGCAGTGCAGGCTCTGAGAGTTCAAGACACGTTGCCAAGATTTGCCAAGTGTTCCACAGACTTCGCCAGTGTCGCCAACTGTCAGGTGGCTGCAACTCTAAGGGCACAACGGGAAGCAAGGCAGGAGAGCAAGGGGCAAAACGCATAAGACTACGACAGATGTTCTTGATACCTCCGTGTTTTTGTCCAGTGAAGCTGAGTTCACACGCTGTTGAACTTGGATAACTTGGACTTCAGGATTATATAGTGGCCTCTAAGTGGAGGTGTGAGTTCAACAAGTGTGTGTGACATATGAGCCATGGAGTGAAAAGTGAATGCAGCTATGGAGCTTTTCTTTCCTGATCAGGCTTTGTGTCATTGCCCTGCAACCTACCTGTGCAAAATGTACAACATGAAGCATTTGTTGGATTTCTGAGTATTCCAAAGGACTCACAAGCTTGAATTTTGGCTGTGCATTGTAGACTGTGACTTAGGCCTGCTGTAGAGGCTCAACGTCCTGGATCCTAGCACAAGCCAGGGGATGCGGAAAGCGAAATGAAACGCTGGTTGATGTTTTCCCAGAGTCCCAGAGGTGCTATGAATGCACAGATTCGCAAGCAGAAAATGGCTGCCATGCCATGTATTAGTGGACATCCCCTCATGAGGTTTGGAACAACACTCTCCATCATGGCCTCATTTCTCGGCCCTTGCTGGCGTTACAAGGTCTTGATTTCCACAGCCTTCGCCTCTCTGCGCTCTTTGGTGCTGTGAGGCGTTTGAGGGAGGCGAAGTACTCAGTGAAATGCACAACTTGTGACACCAATACAGCTTTGGAAGATGTTTGTTAAAGTTTGCAGTTGAGTCTTACCGTCCTGCCTTTTCATACCTCGTGTATGGCTTCACAGTCTCCACAGGGATGTGATGGCATGCAATTTTTACATGTAAAACGGTGGCTTTAACAATCAGCAAAAGCACAGACACACAACAACTAGAACACGTTCTCCTTATTTGACATCATTTTGTCATGTTTGGTCGATATTCCATATGGATTCCATTACAATATACTGTATATTTTTCCCTTTCTTTTCACTGCTGCAGTTACATTGCATCTTGATTCAACCAGAGCGGATCTGGCAATAGCATTTGGGCTCTTCAATAAACTAGCGGCCCACCCAAAGAGGTACTTTTAGGAGCCATGGGAACCAGTACAAGTCGCAGTCGCAGAGAGTTTTCAAGCCCGACATATGTCCCCATGTGGGTCATAAGTGTTACAGATTTCCTGAAGCTGGATCATATGCCAAAGCATGAAGAGTTGATGCAAGCTGGAGTGTTGGTGAAGCGAAGCCACAATCATTTTTGCATTTTTGTGTCTCACCAGTGGCTTGGTTCGGGACATCCTGATCCACGTTTGCAGCAACTGCCAGTCCTTCAGGAGGCTCTCAGAAACATCATCTCTGGCCGGTGTACGGCACAGAGCGACTTGGCTTCCCAGTTCTTTGGTGAAAGCCGAAGGCTCTCCAAGTTGGAAATTGAGAAGCTTCAAAGCGGCTATATTTGGCTTGATTGGTTCAGCATTCCTCAGCATCCCTGTTCCCTTCTTGATGACAATCAGCTGGATGGAACTCCACAGTCATCTCCTGAGGTGACTCACTTTCCAAGCTTGAAAAGTCCCAGTAGCCTCACAAATCAGGATCTGTACATCAGTTCCATCCCCTTTTTCGTTGAGGTCTCTGATGCTTGTTGAAAGAATGACATAGGGCGACCGTTGTAGGTCATTTTATGTCATTTTGTCATTCCTTTTCCTTAAAATCTTTTTGGCATTTTTTTGGTTACCCAGCAAAAGACTCATGCTATTCTAGGACCAAGTCATGCCGAGGATATCTTTGTGGCGCTGGTGCCACAGTTTCATCATCAAGATACTGAACAGAAATGCAACTTTCGCAGCTATTTGACCCGAGGTTGGTGTCGCTTGGAGATGTGGTGCAGCATTTTGTGTGTGAAAGTCGATCAGCCCTTCCTGATTGTGAAGGGAGGCGACGAGGTTGAGTTTGCCACTTCCATGATTTTGACGGACCGTCCACCGCATGAGGGACATTTCACCGTGGAAGCCGATCGGCGGACCATCTACTATGTTATGAAAAGAGCGTTGCAAAATCGGATTGGTGCGCTGAAAAAATTTGGCCAGTGGGACATGTATCGTTTCACGGTTGCAAGGTATGAAACCCTTGTGGGAGATCCACCAACTGGGAGGAATCTCAACAGATTCCTGCAGGATTTTGCATTCGATTCCTTAGAATCTGCAAAAAGCATCAGAGGCATCGGGCCCGTTGAGTGCGCGATCTTGTCCAATGATGTGTCTATGATTCCATTTCTAGCTCATTCGGGATTTGACTTGAGCAGAAATGTGAGCGCCAAGATCAATGTGGAGATTTTGCAAAATGGACGGTCAGCTTTAGACTTTGCTCTGGAACTTTGCTGGAGAAGCCCGGAGGTGATTGTGCAGCTGCTGAGGTGCAAAGCAAATGTGAATCACACGGACCACTTTGGCTTTTCCCCTTTGGGTGCTTGCAAAACCGCGCATGATGTGGAACTGCTTGTGAAGCATAGTGCTCATGTCAACAAGACAGCAGGTCCATTGCACGTCAGTCCTCTCACTTTGTGTTGTGTCAGGGGTGCACCGGCTGAGGTGGCTGCCAAACTCATTGAGCATCAAGCAGATGTTAACCCTCCAACTAAGGGTGTCAACAGCCCACATCCCTTGGCAAACCTAGCCGTATGGTCATGCTCAAACCCTCACTGCATCGAGGTTGCCAAGCTTCTGTTGAATGCAAAGTGTGACATCAATTCTCGCTGCCACGTCAAAGGTGTGTTCAAGGCAATTGAGATGCTGAATCGCACTCGCTTGCGACTCTTCGGATCTGAGTCTCTGCTGGTGCACTTTTTTGCAGAGTGGACGACGACTCCTCTAGGCTTTGCCTGTTTCTACGGCGGTGATGAATTTGTTGAATTTCTGCTGTTGAATGATGCAGATCCAAACATCCCAAATCTTCGTGGCAGCACAGCGTTCCAGCTCGCCCGTGGGCAAAGTGTTCTCAAAGTCATTAAGGACTTTGAATCAATCCAGCCTATTTGAGAGTAGTCTCACCCTAGCAGCTTCAAGGCTCAATGACAAGTTGTTTCACCAGATTCATTTTTGAAGTAGCCACAATGTGATGCCTGTGTTAATTCGGACCTGTACAGGATGCAAGCTATGGACCTGTACAGGATGCAAGCTATGGAGTTGAGGTCATGAATGAAATCATGTGCCCTTCACCTGGACGACACATCAGGCATTGAATCAGAAAGGACGCGGCTCCGATTTGACATCCACAGGGAGACGGGATGCCATGGGTTAGATTCGATTAGATTCGTAGCATTTCGTAGCATAATGCGCTGTAGATGTCTACGTCCAAACTGTCCAAATTCTTACTCTTGCGGTGCCTCAAACGGGTCCTCTGATCAACAAAGACAACGAACGAGAGTTGTGACTGTAGACCTTTGCAAATCTGTGCGCAATCTGAGTGATGCATAGTTGTGCGTTGTATTCTGTTCATTGAATTACCTCAAAGGCTCAAAGGTGAGGGAGTCACTATGAGTCACTCAGTCTTGATCTGCTTGTTGCCGAAGTGCTCCCAGGCACAGGCACGTGAAGTGTCGTTGCGGAAAGCCATGGGAAGCTGGTCGGATCCTTGGACGTGGCCAAGGTACTGACTCGAAGCTGCACGACTGCAGAAATGAACTTGAAAAAATAACATTGATTACATATAATTATGTAACTTATGTAACGTATGTAACTTATGTAACTAATATAACATTGATATTAGATATACATTAATTAACTATATAATCTATATACTTGATCTGCTTAAGTCCTGTCCTTACCGACCACATCGTGACCATACACTATGATACAATCACACATAACAAAAGCATCAATGCTACCACGCATGGTTTACTAGGATTATATAGGGGGTGAGCCAGTCATCAGTTCATTTGACACTGGGTAAATACCAGAACAATGACATCATATGTATATATTAAGTTGGCAGGGATTGAACTGCTGCTTGTCCATGATCAGCTATGACTTTCCATATGCACCTACATGTACATATATATCATACACGTCATACAGTAGATGGACAAACAAATCAAACCCTACAGACATCTACCACGTAAAACCCCACACCCCAAATTTCAATGTTGAACCAAACTCCATATAGTTTCCTCTGCGTTCAGGGTTTGATTTTTTTTGGCCACCAGACCCAAGCGCGCAGCCCAAAGACAACATGGAAATTTGGGGGTGCGGGGGTGACAACAATACCGCCGGCGTTGGATTTCATCCTTAATCTACGGTATGCATATATACATATATATCTTCATAGTCTCACCATTGATACTATTTGATACTAATCATGCTTGAGACGCCACACTCCACATGGCATGATGCGTGGAAGAGAAGACGATGTCCTGCAGGTTTTGAACCTCTATGAACCAGGGCTTGATTTAAGATGAAACATTGGGATATATATATATATATGGCCCAGCGTTTGGTTGTCCCCCCCTCCCCCCCGAGATGGTGATGGTCCCTATATGTATATGTAAGTTATATATACGTATATAATATACATATATACATATGTATATATATATATATATGAAACAAGTGTGTATATATATATATATACATACACACACGTGTGTGTATACGTATGTAGTATGTGCATGTGCAAATGTATACAGTATGTATATGCATGTGTATACGCATATGTCTATGTATCCCTTCCCCCCTGTGGATGCCGTGGGGGGGCCGTGAAGACGAGACACGGGACCATACACACACACACATATATATATATATCTATGTATATATATATATATATGTAGAGGTAGTATAAAATAATGCACACACACATACATCAATCATCGGTGGAGATGATCGCTCACTGCAGATTTGTTCACAGTCCAGAGCATGTGAGGTCGGAGCTTGTTAAGGCTCGCAAGGCCAAGGTTCGGCCCGGGACAGTGATACAGCGTGGCCAGAATCACGACAAACAATGGCCGCTGCTTGCAGGGTTTGCAACATCTTGTCCAATATATTGTCCAACCTCCAGACCAACATGTTGCAATCATTTGTAGAAATGTGTGTTCCAATGTCTTTTTCTTGTTGGGACAAACCCACATGAGTGGCATTGTTCACGTTGATGTGACATGGTGGTTTCAGCTTGAAAAGGTGTGCTTCTGTTTATTCCTCAGGATCATTTCGAACGCAACAATGCTGTGCCTGGACTGCAGGAGAGTTCCCATAGTTCCAACATTCAGAACATTCAGTCGAGAAGGGTTATCTTACATTTGGCATTTGGTTTTTGGGAACCCAGTTGCACCTTTGATTCTTGCAAACGCTCTGGAAGTCAAACACCATTTTCGATGCAAACTTGTGGGCCATTTCGCCCAGCTGCGCAGGTGCCGACTTCCGGAAATACAGACAGGTTTGTGGCTAGGAACTGAGTGCTGCAGACCCGGAACCAGTTCTTTGAACCAAGCCAGCCATAGAATTCCATAGAATTCAATAGAATTTAGAAAAGCAAGGACAAGCAACACACAATATGACAAATAGAAAATTCATCAAAGGAAGTTTAATTGGAACACTTCCTAGGTACAGACGATGGTCATGGTTAGCATCCACAACATCATGTCAACCACATCATCATGTCAACCACGTCATCATGTCAACGCTATCATCAAGCAGTTGGGAAGTGTAAGAGTTCAAAAGCGTGCGAATTCACGGATGGAAACACTCTCGGGCGCAAAACCCTGTGTTTTTTCGGGTAATGTGGCTCCTGGGGTCGCCGAAGTAGGGTCTCTGTTTCCGCGGTTGCGGGCCTCGATCTGGGAAAGTTCCTGACAAAAAGTCTCGATTTGCATTTGCACTTCAACATGTTAAAAACCTGAGGCGCTCGGCGCTCGGAGCACTTTTGGAAGATGATGAGGTCGGAAAAATGTGCACGCGATTGTCGTGAGAGCTCGATTTCACAGAAAAGCGTTAAAAACTGAGGGCCGCGGAGCAGCCTAAAAAGTCGGCCCTGTTGACGCTGCGCGAATGTTGGTTGATTTGGTGCCACGCTCCTGCGATTCGGGTTTGCAACCGGCTGTGACAGATTGCGGCTGCGCGCAGCAAAGCATGAGTGATGCTACGACGCACCTGGTAAGCGGGATTGCAGCTGGAGGTTGCTGAACGCATTGTACAGCTGCGCGAAAGGTAGTTCTTGACCATAGCGCTACTCGTGTGTCTTGCGGAATTGCAGCTGGATGTTGCAAAACTTACTGTGCTGGCTGCGCGAAGAGAAGAATTGGGTTGCAGAAGCTACAGAAGACGCTGGGGCCTGGGAGGCAGCTCACACCGGAAGCAGCCCAGATAAGTGGCTGCTCAGAGAAGTAGCTGAGAGAAGAGGTGCCTCAGCGAAGACGTCGCCCAGTGAAGAAGTAGCTCAACAAAGAAAAGTAGCTCACTCATCCATTCATCCATCCATCCACCCATCCATCACTTCATTTGTTCATTCGTTCCTTCACTGACTCATTGATTCTTGATTCGTTGGTTCATTGATTCAATGACTCATTGGTTCATTGGTTCATTCATTCCATGGTTGGTTCACTGACTCATTGATTCATTGATTCATGGTTCATAGATTCATTGATGCATTGATTTATTGCTTCATTGCTTCATTGCTTCACTGACTCATGGACTCGCTACTTCATTCATTCATTGCTACATTGGTTCATTGCTTCTTTGCTTCATTGATTCATACTGATTCACTGATGCCTTGACCCACTCACGATTGATTCATTGCTTCATTGCTTCGTTCCTAGATCGATTCACTGATTCTGGGATTCATTGGTTCATTGACTCATCAATTCATTGGTTCGTTGATTCATTCAGTCAATTGCGCATGGATTCTTTAATGTCATGTCATTGGCACCTCAACAACATTCAACAACCATTTGCTCACTCGTTGATGCACCTCACAACTTCCACACTTGGTTGCTTCTGCATTTCACAAACTTTCCTATAGGCCATCTTCTTCCTATAACGGTTTTAAACTTTCGAAACTTCCGCCCCGGCATGGGCCGGGCACTACCTGGTAGAATTACATGCGAACTTCCACAAGAATCAGCAGTGTAGCATGTTGACTGTTTGCCTCTCGACTTACACCTGTTCTTGCCAGTACATTGCCCCTACTGTGCACACCTTCAAGGTTGGTTCCAATGCCATTGATCGATGTCCACCACTGGGTCGCAACAACAATACGAGTAGCCTCACACTCATCATTTTTTTTCATATCCCCCACCGACATCATCTCTGCAAGACTTGTGAGCCTTCAAAATGGTTAAGGAGATGATGGAGGCCCTTGAGGGCCAGGCTGTTGCTGTTCAGGATCTGAGCGTCTTGGTTTGACTGGTACATCACTGGTAGAGCGGGTGAGTGAAACTGAAGCAACGAAGAAAAACACATTTGTCGTTGGTTTTCGGAGGCCTGAACATTTGTCGCAATCCACTTCTTGCCGTTGGCATTTTGTTTATTTTTGAATGATCCTTGATGACCCCAATGTGCGAGGTGACAACAATACATATTCACGCCTTGCATAGCACTGCTACCGGCAGTCGGTTCACATTTGTATAAGAGTATAGCCCCAGTGCCGTATAAGAAGGTCCGAAGGTCACAGATTAGGGTCCCTCAATTCTATTGCTGAAAAATGGTAAAAAAGGTGAATGTCCCTCAAATTCTATTGTTTTCTTCATCTTAGGATGCAATTTCAAGGGGGAAGCTTTCTAATTGCTGAAATGCTGGTAGAAAGCAACTTCAAGGGGGAAGCATTCTAACTGCATTCTAACATCTGATGATATTCATAGTGTGTAGGCATTCTAAGTGAGGGATTTGTGCAAAGAGTTTTCCGAAAACAACAAAAACTTAAAACCCGGGTGGGGAGGCATTCTAACTGAATGATTTTTTGCCGTGCGCGTGCCGCATTCTAACTGAGGGGGAGGAATATTTGGAATTCGCGGAGGCATTCTAACTTTCATTTTAACGGTATAAACCCTTTTTTTTGGCGCTTGGTGCCAGGTGGAAAAGGAGGGAAACTGCAGAAGCACCGATCAAGTTACACCCTATAATGTACCAGTGCCAGTACTATCTAGTACCATCATTCAAGAATTTAGTGGTTCCACTTGAGGGTGCCTCAAACTATTAAGGTAGTGAGAATCGATGGGAATCGCATGTAGCTCAAAAAATGTTGGGATTGGAGCCGAACCCCTCAAATTCTTATATTTATTATATATATACAGCATTTGCGCTGTACCATATCCGCGATACTATCTCTCTTGAATCAGCTGAAATGACCCACAATGCTTGACCCATGCACTCAGTAGTATGCCCACTCAGGTGAACTTGTTCGAGCTGAGCTGAAAACAGAGGCTGGCCTCATTGAAGTATTCTTAAGCTTGATGCAACATAGGGAAAACACTACGATTGATATGACTGATATGACAGGGACTCTGGTGCCGATACATCTCCCTGTCCAAATAGTCAAAGTGTGGCTGCTAGAACATAAAGCCCTTCGTAAGCCACTTTGTTTGGCTGAAACCATTTTGCTCTTTGTTTTGGGAGCGAATTCTAATCTGTCAAAGTGTCAATGGATTGAGCTTTCTTGCAGGCCGACCGCGAAAAGTTGTGCCGCGTGGAGTTGGATGACGAGGTGCTAGCTCTATCATGGTGACCATGGTGACCATGGTGTTGTGTTGGCGAGTTACCACAGTTACCACTAGTGCATGCCATGTAAAGCACGTAAGCTTTCCGCGAAGGAGATTGCAGCCAAGTCATTGTGTGGAAGAGCAAGTTGATTTTGAAGAAACTTGCCAATGAGCCAACATGAGATGAACCTTGCAAGCAATTTGGCAGACTGGACCTCTTCGGTAACTAGTAGAAGACGTCCCAAGGATGGTCATCTGTCATCGTCACACATTGATCACCTATATACATAATTATATATATATTATATATATAAATTGATACGAGTATATACACTACTCCAGACCGTAGCCACCACTCTGACTGATGACCGATAAGGATGCCAACCACATCCATAGACTTCATAGACTTCACGCATCACAGTGCCAGGCCATTCAGAAGTTGTCACGGCGAGTGGACGCCTTGGAGGCCGTTCTGACTCATATCTTACCATTGAAACATATATTGAAACATATTGAAACATGTTTAAGCCATAGGTTAGTAACGGTTTGTATGATGTGTGAGCCCGACCCAGACCGCCTTGCCAGGAGATATCAGGAGATGAAAATCATAGGGCTTTGGCAAATCAGATGACATGATCTCACATTCGGAGTGGTTTGTCTTCAACACTCAAATGATGCAATAGACTCAATAGACATTTCAGGACTGATACCTTCCGTGCTGAAAGTGTACAGGCCAAAGGAGCAGACCTTGCGGCGATTCTGCAGGAGGCGAAACGCATGGAACAGCGGGCAGAAGAAGCGGCGGAGCAGGCGGGTCCTCAGCTGGAAGCAACGTGGTGATTCTCTGAGAGTGTAAAATCAAGTGCAAGATGACATCTTGAGTGCTGGGTCAGGTTCGGAAGTTGTTTGCAGACATTACATGACATTACTCCCACTCTGGATCATTCTGGTGCAATTAATGCCTTACTGTGCCATTCTTGAAGACAAGGGGCAACAAGTAGCTGACAAGCAAAGCTGCTTCAATCAGGGCTGACCTAGAGCTTTGCAAGGTGCAGCAAAGGACTGACATGGCGGTGTCGAAGTTGCTACACCGCCTGCAGGACGGGAACTTGACTCTTGGATGCCTGCGATTGCCTGCGTTTCAATCCTAATCCTGGTTTGCGTTAAGTCATTTGGTCTCTCTCTCTCTCTCTCCCTGAGATACCTACTGCATTCATGGTGATTGCGCTGGTTTGTTACAGCTACTTTGGGTGGTTTGGAATACTTTCATTCTTCGGAAGGATCTGAGAAGTAGTCAGATAAAATAGATGCAATAAGCAGTACCGCCAAGCACCCCAGTGGCAGTTTGTTTCCCCAGGCCATGCAATCCCCGCAATGTGTGGTGCGAAAGGAGGATGACTGGCCCATAGATGATTCGCCCATCTGTATGCCAGAAAAAAGTGACCAGGAGCATCAAGTAGCAGACTTTCAGACTTGTACCACAGGAAACGGTTCAACTTTTTTAATGTCTAGAGGCCTAGAGGTTGTGATCGGAAGGTATCTCTTCTAAGACTGGAGATGGCACTCAAAGACTGACTTGACTGATCCTTAATGCCACCATTTCTTTTGTTTTTGTCAATGGCATCTTGTTGATGTTGCAGACATCCGTGTTTTTTCGCTTTTCATGCCATGAGCTGATAGCCGCAGCCCCCACATCCTGCATTCCCTCTTTGTCTACGGATCAAGGATTTGCGAGAGAAGGTTTGGTGACTGTCAGTGCACCTTGATTTTGATCCAGTTTGCTCTGTCTGGATCCACTTGACCTATGTGTTCCCTCCTGCCGCAACATATAGGACGTTTTGTTCCGTATCTCAGTTAACGCTGGTGGTATGTGACGATTGCAGGACAATATGCACACACTTGCTCACAGACCAAGACACACACACAAACACAAACACAAACACAAACACAAACACAAACACAAACACAAACACACACAAACACAAACACAAACACAAACACAAACACAAACACAAACACACACACACAAACACAAACACAAACACACACACACAAGCCCCTTTGCGGTCGCGAGAACCGCCCTCGAGAGGTGAGGAACCTAGCGCCCCACGCCCGTTCAGTTGTGCTGCTGTTTGGCGGCTGCTGTGGTGACCCTGAAGTGGCGGGGTGCGTTGCGGTTGCAGTGGTTGCGGCTGCTGGCGCTGTGCGGCTGCTGGCGCTGTGGGCGCTGCTGCACTACTTGGTCCTCTACCTGCACCTCATTGAGTTTGTCTTGGCACAGCAATCTCATTACTGGCATTTACTTCTTCTCCTTCATCATTGCATTCTACCTGCTGCCTCGCTCTTGCTGGACAACGTGCCCTTGAGTGAGGTCAACAGTTTGGGATTTTTGGGGATAGGGGAAATCCAACAACGTTGGGAGCGTATGCCATCAGTGCAGCCGCATCCGACACCACCACCTTCGAGGGCTGACCATATCAATTCGACCGCAACTCGGTCCCAAGTCCGAGAGCCGTGCAGATCCAGAGTTTTCTTGGTCATCTTGATTTGGATCTTGACCTTAGCAACCTCGACAAGTTGCACGGTTTGGGGTGAGGGTTCCACCGTGGACATGCACCGTGGAGGAGCTGATTCCGAGGGATCAGCGAAATTTCATGTCGAGGAGCTCCAGCGGACTTACGAGTCAACACAACCTTGCAAACACAGGAAACGAACAAACAAACGTAGCTATCAACGTGCACAAAGGCGTGCCACAGAACATGGTATCACTTGGTACAAAGGACAATGGATGACAGCCTCACAATTGGGAATGCCATATGTGGGACACAGAGATACCCCCCCCAAATCAAAAAACGTGCCAACTAGCACGGGACACAGACGCAAACGACTCACAGTGATGTGTTGGAATTGTGGAGGGCTCACCTCAACTGACTGGGATTGGATGCAAAGCTGGCTCTCACAACAGAGCATTGATGTCATTGCGATCCAGGAATCGCACTGGCCCTTTTCCAGCGAATGGATGCAGCGGCACTTTCATTGTCTTCACAGTGGAAGTAGTAGCCGCAGCGGAGGCCTTCTCACACTGATATCCAAACAACTGTGCTCATCCGATGCAATTTCATGGGATGAACCTATTCCCGGACGACTCATGCACATTCGGATCCATGGACATACACGCAGCATTGATATACTGAATGCGTATCAACATGTACATGCTCCTGATCGCATGGAAGATAGGACGACATTTTGGACTACCCTGCAGACCACATTGACACATTTGCCAAAACGAAACAACCTTATCATGATGGGAGACTGGAACACTTCATTGACCAGAAGTACCACCACGACTGGCCTGCCAACTTATGCTGAAGACACAAAGAGATGTCAGGGACCTCAATCGATTGATGGACATCTTTTTCACAATCTTCTCCAACAGCATGATTTGGTAGCTCTAAACACCTGGCAACATGATTTAGGACCGACGTTTCGTTTTCAGGCAAAACATTCCAGAATTGATTTTGTGATCTGCCGCAGACATTTTTCTGACACTACTTCCAAAAGCGTCAACTATCTTCAGGATTTTCCCTTGAACCCACTGGATGGCGCTAAACACTTTCCAATTTTGGTTTCATTGCTGAAGGCATGGCGTTACACCCCGACACCCAAGCCGACTGGATGGACATTGAAGCAGAGGCTGGCTCTATACAAGCTGTGGCGCAACCCCACAGAACAGACCATTCAGCTGCAACAACAGATCAATGAGGCCATCCAGACTCTGCCCAAGGATGGAGAGTGTTTGGACCGGGCGCATCAGACTTTGAACAATTTTGGACTGAAGGCACATCACGAACAGACCCAACCATGGTATGAAACGGATTTGAAACCCTTCCAACTCTTTCAGGCTCACACAGCACGGCTTCACACTCTGGTGGAACCCACATCGAGGAACTGCTTTCAGGCCTGGTACCATGTTGGTCGGCGAGGGCATGCTCGTCAACAGATGAGAGCGGCATCCAAACGTGCTAGAAAGGAAAGGATTCAACGATTATTTGACCTGGCAGGACAAGCAGAAAGAGCCCATGATCACTTCACGCTCTACCAGGTCATTCGTGAACTTGCTCCTAAAAAACCATTTCGGAAAATACAGATTTGCAATCAACAAGGCATTCTTTTGAACCCCGTTGAGGCAGCTGACAGTCTTCAGAATTGGTTTGGAGAACTTTATACTGACGCAGGCACACAACTTCAGGCTGCCACCTTTCATTGGCCATTCACATGGGAAGAACTTGCAGAAGGGTTTCATGCATTACCATTGTTGAAGGCGTTGACGCCTGAGAGCGCGCCGGCTCCTTATTGGCAATGTGCAGCAGAACCACTTGCCACTCAGCTGACAGAATATTTACAACGCTGTGGGGATCGAGGGGAATTTCCTGACAGATGGTCACAAGGAACCCTCTTCTTCATCCCGAAGAGTGCCAAGCGGCGTCTGCTCCCTAAAGAACTTAGACCCATCACATTGTTGGAACCATGCAACAAAGTGTGTATGGGCCTATTGGCCCAGCGTCTACAACATGAGGCAGGGTCCCATCTCAACAGCCTCCCACAATTTGCCTACACCAAGATGCGAGGCGGGGACGATGCACTCCATCGCATTATCCTCCACTGCAGTCATGTCCGAAATCTTTGCGATTCACAAAAGTACATCATCCACAGCCTTGCAAGAGGAGCACCTCATCATGCTGTATGTGGCGGCGCACTTCTCAGCCTGGACCTCTCAAAGGCCTTTGACAATGTGAATCGTAGTCGATTGATGGCATGTCTACACAAATTACAGATTTCTGCTGACCTGATTTCCTTTTTGCAGACAGTTTACAGCAGTACTACATACAAGTTTGAGTACAGAGGCGAAACCAGATGTTTTGACGCAACACGTGGCATCCGACAAGGCTGTAAAGCCGCACCAGGGCTTTGGCTGATCTTCACCGCACTGATCTTAGACGAAGTCTCCAGCAGAACCTCAAACACCTGGATGAAAGACTGCCTAACAATGTTTGCAGACGACATTTGCATGCATCAGGCAGTGGAAACGCCTGAGCAACTCCACCGACTGATCAGGCACATAGGTGTCGTACTGGACATTTTGGAAGAATTTCTGATGGACGTAAACATCAACAAAACTTCCGCAATCTTGAGATTGAAGGGACCTGCAGCGGCCAAACTGCAAAAACAGTATGTGGTGCGCAACAAAAAGGGAACTTTTCTCAAAATCCCCAGGACCAATGGCACAGTCACTCACATCCAACTGGTGTCACACATACAATACCTTGGTGTCACAGTCAGTTATCGTGGCTTCGAACGCCAAACTGCTCGAGCGAGGATCAAGGCCAGTGACAAAGTCAGCCAACAGCTTCACAGATGGCTACATGCACAACGCAGCCTCAACAGCCACCAGAAATGCAGACTCTGGCAACAATGTGTATATGCCTGCATGAGATATGGTTTGATCACTGTAGGACTGACCCCTTTTTCAGTCCAACAGATTTTTTCAGCCTCACTGCGGCAACTACGCAGAATCCTTAGAGAACCCCCTCATTTGTACAAAACCACGCATGAAGAATTTCTAGTACAGCACCAATTGGCTCATCCGTTGTTGGTCTTGCGAGATCTATGCCTCAAAGCGGACGCCAGAGACCAAGCGAGACGTGTACACCTTCAAGATGATGACATACTTTTCAGGGTACCATCCATGGACTATCAACAGCGATGTCAGGTCATTGACGACTTTCTGCTGCAGAACCAGAGCAGAAGAAACGACCTGGAGGTGCCCACACCAGAAGCACATCATGTTTGCCCCCACTGCCTGCTGCCATTCTCTAACATCACCAGGCTGCGCACACACCTGACGGTAGAGCATGACGACAGATCAGGAGCTCTCAGACAGTTCACAATGAGCGACATACACCATGGTGTGCCAACTTGCAATAGATGCAAAACCAGATTTGTCAACTTCGAGAGCCTGAATTATCATGTCACGTATGTTTGCTCCGCTACCACTCAGGACCTGGAAGATGTAGAGCATCGCCTGCGCGTTCAAGAACTGCTGCAGTTTGCACGCAGTCAACAGATCCAGGCGCTGGAAGCACGTCCTGACTTGCTGACGTACTTTCACAATACATGTGCATTATGCTCCATGTTTTGCACCACCACCAGGGGCTTGTATGTTCACTGGCAACGCCACCATCATGCGGCATTTCTCCAGCATGAATCCGTGAACCATGAACTGCTCCAGCACAGCTCTGATCAGAGCCCTTGCAAATTGTGTGGGACCTCATTTAAGCAGTATCACAAGTGCCACATAGTGCGACAGATGGCCCTCCTGCTGATCAATGAGGGGTATGGCAATCCAACAGTGCAATCACAGCTGGCCTGTCCCGACTGTGGGAAGGTGTACACGACGCACCATGGCCTTCAGCAGCATATGCGGAGATACCATCGAGCCACGCAGGACTGCTCAACGATGGATGAGCTCTCAGTGGATTTGATGTGTCTCCTTCACCAGGCCGTCGAACAAAATCGAGCCGAAGAACTCCTACAGCACGAGGACATCCAATTTTTCCTGACGACGAGGTGTGTACCTTGTGGAAAATCATTCTCCAGGAAGCAGGAATTGACACGTCATTTTCACTTGAATCATTCGTCAGATTGGCATGAATGTTTTCAACGAGCACTGCTGATGGACAATCGATGGAAACCACAGTATGGCTGCATTTGTCACCCACGACAGCACACCAAACATGTATGCACCTTCTACATCCAGTTCATTCTGCTCAGGCTTGAACATGAACGACAGCTTCAGCCACAGATTGCGCCACTGCCACCAGACTTGGTGCTTTCGCCAACAGAACAGATTGAGCCGCTGCTGTGGCTTGGATGTGCACACCTGCTGTATGACAAACCTGACCTGCGTCTTGCTTTGACGAGGATTTGCCAGATTTGTGGACACAACAGCAGGGACGGCGATGAACTCCACCGCCATCTACATGCAGACCATCCACAACACATGGAGGACATCCAGTCTTTCAAAGAGATGTTTCAGTGGAGTCTATTCCAGGAGCAGGGCTGCTTTTGCAACCCATCACCTGGTTGGGGGCATCCGCAACATGAGTGCGTTGGCATCATTCAGCTTGCGTGGGTTGCACACTCATTCAATTGGCAGGTCGTGCTCCCCTGGAGCTACGGCTCACATGACCTAGCGACGGGCCTCAGTGAGATGATGCCACTGCAAGCACTTCAAAGAGTGACACTGGCAATGATGGCCAGGAATTTTCACAAACTTTGGCAAGACGGTGACTTGGAGCTGATGCTCAAAACCCGGTGTCTTTTATGTCAGGAGAATGTACCACTGTGGCAGATCCGAACTCATCTCAGTGTGGTACACCAAGTCACCTTGGAGCAAGTCAAGTATGTGATGCCTCAGGTCGCCAAAATCTTTGCCGAACTCAACTCAGAAGTTGTTCAATGTGAATGGTGCAGCACGATGCTTCCCACATGGTCAACAGAAGAGGAAGATGTCCCGGATCATTTGACACACATGCAGGAATGCCCCTATGTGATGCAAATGGCACTACTGCTGATGATGCCCAAATGGCACAGTCCAGCACTACAACCCTTGGCATGGCCCACTCAGGAACACATCTCAGCGGTGCGGCGTCAGCATGAACTTCAGAAATGGCAACTACATGCTGGGATCTCAGACACTTTTGGCCTTTCCCTTGAAATTGTCGCACAGTTTGGACTTCAAATGATGACCGATCCCATCATTGCAGACACGGTCAACTATCGATGTTTGCTATGTGGAAAATGTTTTTATATGGCACAGCCCTTTGAACATCATCTGCACAGAGAACACAATTTCCTTCAGATGCAAACCCTCATGTGCTACCATCGACTGACTCTCCATGGTGGATCAAAGTGTCAATTTTGTGGTTTCACTCACACCTCTGACCCTTGCATTCCACTGCTGAACCTTGCAGTGTTTCTCCTTAATGGATATGGGATCAGAGGAGCTGGAAGGCATCGACTCAGCATCGAAGATCTGGGGGAACTTGCTCAACCAGGAGCAGCTGCGACAGCTTGGACTCGACAAAACAGAGCCCAAGAAAGGGGACAAGAAAAGACAGAAAACCCAACCGGAACGCACAGACAGGGACTCACGAAGTACTTCAAGCACAGCAGTGCCACACGAAGTGCTGAAGCAGTTGATTCGTCTGACCTTGCGTCACGAAGACCATCTCAACTGCCTGATGCAAGAATCCCAGTTCTTGATCCATATGAACCCAGGCCAAGGGTCCATAGTGCCCACTTTACTCCAAGCGAGCCAACAGTGGCATGCGGCCCAAGAGAAGGACATGAGCCTCAGGCACCACCTAGCCTGCACCATGATGCAAACGCTGGAGCTTCGCCTGCAGAAGCTGATCTCCGCGACACCGACAGAGGAGCTGTTCACCGACTGTGTGAAATACCATCTCATATGTCCAGACCAAGACAGGACAATGCCGTTCCTACGATGGAGCCCACAGAAACAAAGCCTTCAGCCGACTTCGGCCCCGGGACTGCCGATCAAGGAAGTCCAGAGATGTCTGGGCAACATCCAGAGGATAATGGCAGACCCTCAGGTGACATTGCGCTTTCATGCGCTCACCAAACCGAAGGAGGGGAAGGAGACCACACAGGCCATCCCGTGGTTATGGACGGTCTCCCTTCGAGTGTCACGGGAGTTGTGGCACGAGCTGAATCGCTTGTCCTACCACAGTATCTGGCAGCTCATCCAGATCCGACTTCGGCCCCAGTCCCTCGAGAGGCAACCTTTGGCCAAGCAGTTGCAGAAGGCGTTGTGAGACTGATACCGGTCTTTCTCAATCCAACCGGGACAACCTGTTTCGCCAACACTGCAGTGCTGTGCATAGCATGGATGACACTACTGGTCGATGGCTTTCACCAACAGATGTGGACCACGGGGTTTGAGCTTTTGCGCAATGTGTATGAGGCCGCGCACAGGCCAATGAACTTGCTCTCCCACAATCCTTTCTTGTGGTTGCTCATGGGGTCTTGGACAGTTGACCGACTTCATCATCAGCAGGACGTTTGTGAATTCACCATTTACTTACTTTCACTGATGAGACCGAAGTTTATCCACTGTGGATGGGTTACGAAGGTAGCTTTGACGGCAGATCCTTCTGACGGTTTGCTCGAATCGGAAAAAGGGCAACAGCACACACCCATTCTCTTGCCATACATCGACCATCAAGAGGCCGCATGTCAGCTGCAAGACTTAGTTTTTCACTGGCACGACCCCCAAGGTCTTTGCAGAGCATCTACGGAGGTAGGGAGTCATTTGGTTTTGATGCTCGATCGTTTCAATCCAGAAACGCAACTGAAGTGCACACAGATGATTTACTTTCATGATCGACTTTTATTTCCATGTTTTCAAGAAGGTACTAGCACTATCCATCTGGAACAATTTGACATTTGCGGTGTGATTTTTCACCTGGGAAACCGTCCCCAAGCTGGACACTACCGTGCAGCACTGCGATACCAGAATGCATGGATGATCTATGACGACAACCGAACGCCAGACAAGACAGTTGAACTTCCAATGGAAGTATTTCAAAATTGCACCATGTTCTGGTTAACAAGACCAAATGCTCACTCTGACAGGACCATGGGACGAACTCCACCGCGAGAAGAGCAGTGGTATGGTCGCGCATGGGACTCTCGAAGATCAGCAGGTTCAGGCACCTTGGGAACGTCGGGACCTTATCAACGTGAGGGCACTCACGCAAATGGGGCCACCTGACTGCACTAGTGCTGCTGGCTGCCGCTGGCAATCTGCGCAGCCGCGAAGCTGCGATGCGCTGCGCTGGGGCTGCATGCTGCGCTGCGCCGGGGCAGAGCGTTGCGCTGCACTGGAGCGGAGTGGTGCGCTGCGCTTGGCTGTGCTGCTGCGGAGGCGTGAGGCCTGGTAGCTGCTACGGCTGAGAGGCATTTTCACTGGGGATTCCCCAACCTTTTTACTTTGCCATTGGACATCTTTGGCGATCCAGATCATTTCAATATTTCTTCAGGAATCTTGGACAGCTGCAGCTAACAACTACCTGCTGCTTTTGAGCTATCCTTTTTTCCCAATAGCTCTCAGGAGCCATAAAGCAAGGTTGATAAGACCTCCCACCGGCACCGGACGTCTAAATGTGCTGAGTTGAGGAGGCCATGAGAAATCTCATGAGCGAGCTCGCCTTCCGACCGCAGGGATGGTTGTTGGGGTAGGAAAAAAACACACACACATGCACGCACAACTCTACTGTACCCATACCACACAAAAAGATTCAGTCTTTGGACCCAGCACATTCTCAACCAAGGCAAAAAAAACACGATTTTGACCCAAACATAGCCGACTCAGAAGCAGAAACTTCATGAATTTTTGACAAGGAAGTACTTGTACGATGAAAGCACGACGTATCAAGATGACTTGGGCGATTTCGATCAGATTTGCTCCGACAACTGCTGCGCCATGGGCCAAAGCTGCCAAAGCTGCAACGGCGGCCCCCTGCGGATCCCTGAGCCCAATGGCCCTTTGAAGCCATCGGTTCCACTGCGCCCAAGGTGGGAGACAGATTCATTTCCGTCGGGCTGTCGAACTTTGAATAATTATTGAATAAGCCATAATAAGATCATAATAAGCCTGAATGGATCTGAATGGCCTGTTTGAGCTTCTGAATGCCTCCAGTTGAGGCTTCTGGAGGTCCCTAGGCCTGGCATCTCAAGCCGTCAAGCGTTCAGCGCTCGCCAGATTCGAGAACGAGCCCTGGGTCGCCTTCCACTGCAATGCATTCCAGGCCTCCCGGACGTGCCGGTGACATGGCCATTTGATCAAACCTGCGCAGCCTGTTGATCAAAATGTCACAACAAAATGCCATGAGCTGCCATTCCCTGCTGATTTGAGACTCTTCCGGTCAAGTAATCGACTTGTATGCTAACCTTTTTATTTGGATCGGTTTTGCATGGAAACAGCGGAAAGGCTGAGCAACTAAACATTGACGTTGCCAAGAGTTCAGAAGATCACGCAGCATGCTGCAATGGAATTCCAGGTCTCGTCAAGTACTTCAGCCCCTCGAGCTGGCGCGGAGGAGGTTGGGCGGCAAATAGAATAGCAATATATAAATATAAAATAATATAGATTCATGATTTAGACAGATTGAACCAAATTGAGACGATTTGGTTGAAATTGATGATCGGAAATTGAGAGTTAGCTGCACTGGTGAATGAGTTGGTGGAGACATGAAGGGAACTTGTGGATATGATGTTGGTAAGAAATGAAACATCGAGTTCTGTCATTGTACCGACAGGCTCGTTCGAGTTGTGTCAGAGTGTTTCTAGAATTTCTTGAATTTTGCGATGTGATTCTCCGTGCCGACATTTGTGAAACCATCGGTACGCCCAGGGGACACAAGGATGGCCCAAGGTCTACTCCTTGGGTCGACTGTTGGGCGATGGCATCTCTGCCAAAGTCTTTGAGGCTGAGGCGCACACCTGACATGTGGATCAATGTGGATCAGTGATCAGTGATGATCAGTGATGATCAGTGTGCATCATGGGTGTGCCAAACTGTGCCAATGTCAATTTCGACAGCACTTGCGGTTGTGGACCAGGGACCAGACCTCGCATATCTTTGCAGGCGTTAGCCGACTTGGAAACTACCGAGACTGCTCGGAAGCTTAGTCGAGAACCATCAGCAAGAACTGCAAGGGCCATGGTGGTAAGGGCCACAACAGACCTACAAGATGGTAAATTATACACAGACGATTGAACTTGATTGAATGGCAATGTCCACAAACAGTCTTTCTACAATTCAATGAAGATGATGACGGGTCTATGAAAGATCGCTTCATCAAAGATCAGCTGGGTCCACTGGGAGCTGAGCTCTGATGTCATTCGCTTCCATCATGGACCGGTTGGTAGAATCGAAACCTGTTGAGACCAAGGCTCAGCAACTGACAGTCCTTGGCACCTGTGGTGCTGTTGCAGTTTGGCACCTG